CCCAACTCAAGCAGTCACTTACTACAGTTGCGCACTGATTAGAAGGGAGCATGCTCACATGACATTCTCTGAATATTTGTGTTCATGTGACTCCCGTCAGGTTCCAGGTGGAGCACATCCTCTCTGAGCCATGTGAAAGCTGGACTGGCAGGAAAGGCCGCGTGGACGATACGATCATCAAGGATTTTCTAAGTAGGCCGCAGGGCTCAAAGTGCTATGTTTGTGTATGTGGCCCCACGCTCTTTACTGAACAGACAATCAGGTATGTAAAACTAGGGGGGGAAGACAAATTATTTGGATGACATCCTGGGTTATTTTGTGATTATCTGGCGAGTCGACCTCTCCTGGGAAGATTTTCATGGCTGATAGATTCCTACCACCACTTTGTTGGTTTGTTCTTCAATGTCTTTGAATCTCGGCCCGATGTGGGGAGCCCAAAGTGGTGCTTTTCTTAATTCCCATTGATGTCCTTCAAACTTGTGGGGAATGTTGGTATAAGAGCAACTGTAGTTTATAAGAGCTTTAACACAAGACGCAGCACAGGACGGGGCAGATTGCAAGCTACATGTTCTTTGTTGGCTAGTTGTAGCACACTGATGGAAAACTGAGAATAATGTCATTGATATTGTTTGGGGAAAGATGAAATATGTGATGGTCAAACCGACATGCAAGAGATGAACCTGATTTTACTTTTCATCTGTCAGGTTGGTCAAGCAGCAAGGTTTTAGTGAAGAGGAGATCCACGCCTTCCAGGGCTGACGTGCTCTGCTCTGCTGCAAACCTGCAAAGACTGAGCGTGCCTTCAAGTGGCAGTCAGACTTCACTTTAATTTATACCGTACATTTACAGTGTGTGTGAGAAGAGGACATTCTATGCACCAAAGTTGTGATGATATACACTCTTTCACTGCCAGCTGCTTTCAGAGCAGCCAACCCCACGTTGCCAGCCGTTTTAGAGCATTTTGACTATTTATTTTTTTTTCTCCAAGACCCACAGAGTATTGTTTTCTACTGAGTAAAAATATTTTGTATGGCAAATACATTCAGATTTACTTATGAGTACGTTTGGACCTACTTTCTACCTACTAGTAGGTTCCAGTGTACTCACACGTATGTTCAAATGTACTTGCAAATATGTTTGAACGGACCCATAAATATGTTCGAACCTAATTGCAAGTACGTTTGGGCCTACTTGCAAGTACATTCATACATACTTGAAGGCTAAATGCTACAAATGTAGCATTTCCCATAATTCCACAGGGTATTGACTTGCGCATGTCTTATGGAAAAAAAATAAAACCATAAAATTAAGAATACTAAATGTTTCCTTTTCAAACGTATTGATATAAATAGAAGATTGAAGTTCTTTTTTTTTCCCCATAATGCCATGGACAATGCCATTATGGGGGGAAATACACTGTAACGTAAATCATGCACTGCAGACATAAGACCATGAAAAATTACAAATGAACAATGTTTATTTAATTTTTGAACAGAGCAATATAAAGTAGGCCAAATGCAAAAAAAAAAAAAAA